ACTTTACAACTGAATATGCTGCAAAAAGACGGCCTCATATTTCAAATGGTACCATATTAGAGATGTCGAAGTATGTTTGCTTGAATGCAACTATTCACAAACTTGCTGAAAACTCTTCGACAGTCCACGACAGGTTTGGCTTTTGATAAATGAGGGATTCAGATGGGATTCAGTAGAGTCGCTTGTTAAAACCAGATTGGTTTGTAAATGAGTGCAGTTGGTGAATTTCGTACTGTTTGGGTTCACGTAGAACATAACGTTGACGGAAGCTTGGGGGCTGCGTCTACCGATCATGAACTGTCAAACAGCATTCGGCAGCCTTATTAGTAGTCTCCTTTAAAAGTAATTATGTAGTAATTTCCTGGGTTTGTGTCGATTTCATTACCTTTTTAAAATCTTAAATTGAAATGATGTGGAGTTTAGTGGAAAAAACACCTGATGCGCACAATGCGAATGTCGTATTCATGGCATGTGCAAAACGACAGCCAAGAAGTTGGGGCTAAAGAGGTCCGGGAAAAAAACGGGTCAATATTACAGTATAGCCGAAGAAAGATTTATTCATAAAGGAAACTACTTACCAGGTTGCTGAGAGCTCTTCGACAGCCCACGATCAGTTTCGCTTTCCTTGGAGCTGATCAGGTAGGCGCAGTCCCCGAGTTTCCGTCAACCCTATGTTCTACTTGAGCCCGAATTCGACTGATTTTGACAAGTACAGTTATTTGCAAATCAATCTAGTTTTCAAGGGAGACTCAACTGAATCTCTCGTTTATGATATTCGACAACTGAATATGCTGCACACAGGTCACCTCATGATTCACATGGCACGATATTCGAGATATCGCAGTATATTTTTATGAAGGAAACTACTCACAAGGTTGCTGAATATCATAAACGAGAGATTCGGTTGAGTCTCTCGTGAAAACCAAATTGATTTGCAAATGAATGTATTTTTCGAAAGATTAATTCACTTTTGTAGGTTTTTACTTGTTGGTGCTTGATGTGTCCACAGTTTTCGAAGTCAAAGTTGTGAGTCTAACCATTACTCTACTCAACGTATACTACGACCAGTATACCGGATTTTATATTGCGTCACTCTTTGAACATGTGTTTCCTTGATGTCTGTCATCGATTATCGATTTCAGCTTCATCCCTTCACGCAGATCACACCGTTATTCAACACAGGTGAGAATGTGACCAGGCTATAGGGTATGCATTCGCCTGACGTATCATGTGCTCGCAACTCACTTGTTCCGATCTCTATTTTCAGGAGCAATTCACATGGCAAAGAAAGGGGCTTGGGCTCAATACACGGAACCGGTCTAAAGCTGCGTATCTTTTGGTCAATCGCGATAATCCGAAAGTGCAGGTGCGCGTGGATTAGAAATAGTAGATAGCACCTTAGCGAAGTACCTTCACTTACAAACAAATTTGGTTTTGTGAGAGGCTCACCTAGAACCCAGCTGAATCTCTCGGTTTGGATGTTTCCAGGCTGGGTTTCAAAACCAAATTTGTTTCCAAATGAGTACATTTAGCTAATTTCGTGCAATTTGGTTTCAGTTAGAACATCAGGTTGACGGAAACTCGAGGACTGCGCCTACCTGATGAGTCCCAAGAAGGGGGAAACCGGTCGTGGGCTGTCGAGGAGTTTTCAGCAACCTTATGAGTAGTGAATTACAAACAGATGTGCGGGAAGCCATTGAGAATTACAGTTGCTCAGATGGCTGTTGGTCTGTCAACCGATCATGTCAAATGAACTTGTGTATGTTTTGTCACTATTTCAGGGGACATCAGTAGACGGTGGTGTGGTCATTATTTCGCTGAAGTAATACTACCTAATAATATCACCTTCATCCATTAACATTTGTGAAAAACTGGCGTAATGTTATACCGTGATGTAGCGCTATTTTGATCCAGTCGTGGAGACAATTCAGAATGATAGACTAGTTCGTGTCTAAACAGATCGAGACAGGCTTACTCGAAAAGATCACGTTAACATTAGCTTTCAGTCTTACCTTGTATCGGTAAAATGTTCCGGTGAAACATTCGTGCTCATCATATGTACCCACGCTCTTACCAGTAGATTTCGTCCTTTTAGATTCTTAACATTTTTGGCTAAACAAACTATTGCTGGAGGTACTTGGGGTTTTTCTTATCACCGTCACCACCGTAGTTATAATATGCCGATATATGTGAGAATGAGGGTGCTTGTTAGGCAACAGTGAAAAAAAGGAAGACTCATAGAAGCATACTTTGAATATCTCAGAGACAAGTAATGTCCGACGACTGTCAAGAGAAAGTCCTCCCCTTGAGGAGGGACAACTTTCCTGAAGGAGCTAAATGTCTGAGATACTCGTAGTGTCTTCTCTCTGGGCTGGTCTACTATAACTCAGAACAGGCACTGGAGACTGATGCTAGAATACTGACAGCAGTGAGATCCATTTGGCCAAGCTGTCTGATATTCTTGCTGAGTAGCCGCTGTGACATGTAGCCGTAATAGGTGAATACATGTGCAGCGCGCAAAACATTGAAAAAAAGTTTGGCACACCAGAGTTTGAGCTCTACACACTTCGGTTAAACCACTATAATGTTACTCCATATCATCATCCAATTGTCATACCGTGTCCATGTGGAATTTTAGTTTGAGCCCTCGAGTAAGCCATATCAACAGAATCACAAACAGAGAAACCATTCAACTGTTTCAGTATTGCTCGTGAGGTCGGTGAAGAATTTGGACAGCTGACTACCTGTTTCGTCCTTCTCGAGACTGACCGAATACGTGTAGTCCCCGACTTTCTTTCAGCATGAATACCTACTTGAGTACGAAACTGTGCTTGTGTTCCAACAAACATTCAGCTGTAGATGAATTTTTCGTTGACGAGAGGCAGCCAAAATTTGCCTGCCTCTCTCGTTCATAATATTTAACTGGTAATCTTACTAATTAAAAAACATTGTTGCATCGATGCGTCAAACTATCTTCTTTGTCCATCCAGTTAAATCGGCAGCCTACAGAAGATCTTCTGGACGACTGAAGTATCGTAGTTTTATTTTGATACATCCGAGGGCATACGGAGTTCGCTTAATAATCATTTGGTGCATTTTTGTGCGCTGTGTAACTTCTTAACAGGTTTGTTGAGAACAACCAAAGGAGTTGAACCTGATCTACACTCTACTCATCCTGGCCTAGCACCACTTTGTTCGATTTACACGGGCCAATTTGAACAGTTTTGTTGACTGAGATTGCGGGCTTGTGTTGAATTAATCAGTCAAGGTGCCGAGTCAGTTCACTACGTTCACAATGAATGAGTGATCGTGCTGAACTGTCACGTGGTTGATTGAAACCAGACGCTATCAGCCAACAGGTTGTGGCGGCGCGTATGGACTCGTCACTCCGACGTTTCACCAACGTCATCCATACCTTTCATATCCATATCGTTTGTGGGAAGGTTGGAGTGTCGTGGAAGTATTTTGCCCAGACTATTCAGTAAAACTAACATATTTGATGTGTGTGACAGGTCGTGCAAAGGCTGATATGAACGAGCCGCGTAACAAGATGTTTCAACACTGTTGCTTCCAGACGTGAAATGAGGTGAGGCGCTGCGAAATGGCTGTTCGCAGAAATGCTGATCACAGTTAAGCCGAAATCTCAACTCACTGCACGAGGTTAAAGGTCGAATGATAAAATGGATAGAAAACTCTAAGATAGAGACTTTAAATCACAGGGAGAACTTGCAGATGTACCTGTTGGTAATTGATCCGATGGCTGTTGATCTGTTCGCCGAGATTGGTAATTGATTTGCAAACGTTTCATCACCATTCGAAGAGACATCTTCAGTGCGCAGAACACTCCAGTTAGCTAGACTGCGTGATAAAGATGTTACCCAATAACTCACCCTGCTTACGAATTTAAAAGTTCCGTAGACTGTGGGTAAATTTTTTTCAAGGTCTTGAAGCCACTAACGGCCACCGGAAATAATCTGACTGTTTACTTAATCTGCATCAGTTCCCACGGGCGAACACTGACGGAAGTTAATATCTTTCTCCTACAGCGAACTTCTTCGTGAGTTTGTCTGGCTTTTAAAAGCCCCACTGCAAGCGTCTGGAGCCAAACTAACGTAATATTCACCACTTCCCGATATCTGGAATAAGTTCTGTCCGTACATGATGGGACAGTTTGCTTCGTCCAGAATCAAGGCGCTAGGTATTCGACGCTACTGCCTATCCGTGACGTGATAGATTTGATATTCTGTAAGAAAGGTCATCAATCCTTATTTTCTAGGGTAGTGCAATGAAGGAGCTATCGTATCATCCACCTACAACTCGTATAGGGGTCACCACCGTTGTCACAATGATGTTGTCTGATGCAACAGGTTATTAGGAAGTCGATAAGTACTAGGTTGTTGTATATTCGAGAAATACACCCATTTGCAAATCAACTTGGTTTTCACGAGAGACTCAACTGAATCTCTCGTTTATGATATTCGACAACCGAAAGTGTTGCACACAGGGGAGTCACTTGCGGAGCCGGAATTCGTTCTTTATTTGGCTATAATGAATGAAGTTATTTCCTCCAGGTGGAATGAAATGAAGAAGAACTCGTGCTGTCCAGGTGGTTCCTTCTGATGTGGAAATGTCTTCTTCGTTTTTTTCTTACACAGAGTTGATTATGTTGGTTTCAGCACACCGAACGAACTTCAGATTGCGAGGAGTCACCATCATCATCATCGACAGCATGACATCAGAAGAAAAGAATAAAGGTGGACGGGGAAGGGACTTAGTGCTAGCTTAACACAATCATTCCGAGGTGCCTACATCTCCCAGACATCCCTCAGGCAATCTGGGTAGAAACTGACAACAAGAACGCCACTGACATCGGTTGGCAGCCATATCTTGTGGTGTCTCCGACCAACCACAATGAGGATCACGCGGTCCCCATCCTGGAAGGCGAGTAGCACCAACAGCACCCAAGCGTTTCGTGATCTCCTTCATACCCCTTTGCCGAGTCAAGGGTTGGCCACTTCTCTGTTTACGCCACTCCGAATTGGGCATGGAAAACAGCACTCTCTTCGGCGAACGATGGTTCGGCATACGTAACACATGTCTGATATCCAGTGCTTGAGTGCGCCTGGTCGGGTCGTGCCACAGGCAAAATTCCCAGCACTATGCAAAGAGGTGGCAACCTCGTCCCAGTATGAGTTCACATCTGATGGTGGGGCATTTGGAAGAGACTCTAGAAGACGATTCTTGTAAGTTCGTCTGACATCCGGGTCTGCCAGCCTTTCAGTTGCCATGCGATTTGTTCGCACCTTACGCTGCCCCGGGAAACGTAGGGCGAAACGACTCCGGACGAGCGCGTGGTCAGAGTCCAAAAATGTGTTCCAAAACGACCGGCAGTCAGTTATGGACCCACGCCATCGGTAACTAATGGCAATGTGGTGGATTTGGGTTTGTGGCCGGCCTGTTGTTGGAGGGCACCAAGTGGCCAGACGAC